GAATTGTAAAAATTTATATTTTTTGTTTTGTTTTAGCTAACACAGTTTTCAAATAAAGGTCGCGGCGAGTACTTTTGCACCAATGTAATATAATTCAAAATGAAGATTATGTTTTAAATAAAAATCTTAGTGGGGAACATCGTGTCCTGTCAGTAAATTGTGCAATAATAATAGGTATTTAAACAAACTATATGCCCATAGCGACAAATTGAATTGATCAAACTAACCGAATATCATGAGCTAGTCCCGTAAATCCAGTTATAAACATACTGACATAGTGATTTTATACATAAAAATAACATTATTTCTATACATGAATATATTTAGTTCTTTTATATATGAATTTATACGCAATATTTTCCGTAAACCTAACGACACTTTGTTTGAAATTTGACGGTTAAGTTTAAGTTAAAAAGATATTAATATTTAGTCGTAAGCAAAAGAAGCAAAAGATATGCCTATATTAGTCAGTTATCATCCGTATAAAATGCATTCATATGTTATTAAACTCATGTATAAAATATATGTTAAACTGTTAATCATTGTATAATTAATTAAAAATTATATTTACTATAACATTAGAGTATATAACATGCCCGGGTATAAGGTGTCCAGGTTTCCCAATTTATCGGTCAAAGAAAAATCTCAATACACGTGCAGTTTATGTGAGGACATACTCAACTGCCCGATGACTACCCCGTGTTGTCTGAAAACATTTTGCGAGGACTGCATCACCAAATTGTCTACAAAACAACACTACCTGTCCTTATGATAGAAATAGCTTATCTCTGGATAAATTAACACGAGCGCCAAGGTAATGTAGATATTTTATTATGTGTCATTTCCTAAGTATGTAAATTTTAAATAAATATAAATTTATTAAAATTGTCATAACATCATTTCTAAATATAATAATAATTTAAATATTTTTACCAGGGTCCTAGCAAATATGTTAGAAAATCTAAACATTAAATGTGACTTTTGGGATAAGGGCTGCCGAAAAGTGGTCAAACTTGAGAACCTCATACAATACACCGCCATCTGTGAGCACAATGAGGCAAACCGTCCCAAAACGTGTGACGTATGCTATTGTGACAAAACACGTGATCACGACTGTGTCGACGCAATACTGGAGGCTAAGTGTAGCGCGAATGACGAAACAGATTCGTTAAAGCGAACGGTGAGAGAGTTGAAAAGTGACAAAGATCAATTTATAAAAACTATCCAGGACATGTCCAGAAGTCACTGTAGTGGCTATATAATTATGCTAATTATGATTACCGTACCTAAAGCTGAGGAATCCGTGCGAACGGCGCGTGTGTTTCAAAGTGAAGACGACGGCCCCCAAGAGGTATGCCGTCCGACCAAACGTGGGACTCATCGAGTCATTCGGCACCGTAACCATCGCTGTTAGCCTACAACCCGTATACATAGATAACTTGATCGGCAAAAATAAGCACATGTTTATAGAAAGCCGTCAATCAGGAGACACTCTGGGAAGGCGTGAATCCGGAAGCTATTATGACTTCAAAGCTAAAGTGTGTGTTTGATGTGACGCCGCCTTCAAACGAGACACCTGTCCGGTAGTCACCAACACCTCCTGTCAATAATACAGTTGTCCAACTGATTAGTAGACTTACCATCGATTTCAGATCATCGACACAACAAAAAAATAGTTTCAAATTTTGGTTTAAATAATTTTGATTTTTATTAAATTTATATTATATTTTTAATTATGTCTGTAATTATTGTTGATTTTATTATATAATATTCATATTTCTACTGTTTATTCAACAATACTTATAAAAAACACCAAGCTTACATTAAAGTAAATTTATAAATTGCTAATTTCTATTAATAAATAAATTGTATGTTCAAAATTGTTATTATGATTATACAGTATAAACAACATGTACAGTATTTCAGATGCGATATAAATATTATTGAAATAATAAAGTAAATACGACACCAGATGACTTTTGTACAAATATTATTTATATATGAGATTGTAATATGCTACTTTTTAATAAATAATATTGTGATATAGTTTTATTATTATTCATACATTGGTAAATACGCATTAAATATTATAAACTAAATACTAAATTGTTATTTAGACTAAAAATTATTAATAGTTATATTTTAGTGGCTCAATTATAATCAATTTAATCTCTGATATTTTAAAGTAAGTATAGTAAACTTAAACAAATTATTGTATAATAGTATATATTATTTAAATATAATTATAGATTGTAAAAATGCCTGGCTATGATGTGTCCAGGTTTCCAAATTTATCGGAAATGGAAAAGTCTGAATACACGTGCAGTATATGTCGGGACATATTTTGCTGTCCAATGACTACCCCGTGTTGTCTGCAGACATTTTGTGAGGACTGTATTACCGGTTGGTTACAAAACAACACTACCTGTCCTTATGATAGGAGGGGCTTATGTCTGGATAAATTAACAGGATCACCAAGGTAATGTAGATATTTTATTATATGTCATTCCCAAAGTATGTAATTTTAAATAATCATAAAATTATTATAACATCATTTCTAAATATAATAATAGTTTTTATATTATAACCAGGGTTCTAGCGAACATGTTAGGAAACATGAACATTAAATGTGACTTTTGGGATATCGGGTGTCGAAAAGTGGTCAAACTCGATGACCTCATACAACACACCGCCATCTGTGAGCACAATGAAGCAAACCGTTCCCCAAAGTGTGACGTATGCTATTGTGACAAAACACGTGATCACGACTGCGTCGAAGCACTACTCGTAGCCAAACTTAGCGCGAATATCGAAATGAATTTGTTAAAGCGAACGGTGAAAGATTTAAGAAGTGAGAAAGATCAGTTTTTGAAAACCATTCAGAATATGTCCAGTGATCCGGGTAATAACATTATAACAGATGAAAATAATCAATTAATAATCGAAATTGATACACTCCGTACGGACCTTGATAACCTATTAGCACGTTACCAATTATTAGAGCAACATGGATTATATAATGATGTAAGTTTAGATATTATAATTTTAATATAAATGAATAAGTCTATGAGTGATCGATTAAAAAATTGACATCCAGTTGACATTAGCACCGGGGGCAATGTGGAACCAGGATCAGATCCTACTGCTCGACCCCAATTCGGAACTCCACTTCAGAAGTCCGTTCAGTTTTGCGATCACGTCGTACCTAAAGCTGCGGAATCCGTGGGAACGGCGCGTATGTTTCAGAGTGATGACGACCGTCCCCAAGAGGTATTGGGTGCGACCCAACCACGGACTCATCGAATCTTTCGGCACCGTAACCATCGCTGTTAGACTACGACCCGTAGACATAGACAACGGGAACGACAAAAATAATGACGAGTTTATGGTGCAGACGATGTTCGCGCCCGAGGGGGCCGTCAATCAGGAGACACTCTGGGAAGTCGTGAATCCGGAAGCGATTATGACTTCAAAGCTGAAGTGTGTGTTTGATATGACGCCGCCTTCAAACGAGACACCTGTCGGGTAGAGGTCGGTAGTCACCAACATCTCTGGCAATAATATGGTGTCCATGATTCAAATTTTGATTTAAAGAATTTTCATTAAATGATTAGTCTATATCATAGATTTACATATATGTACCACAGCGGTCACATTGCTATATGAATAGCATTACTAATTTAACATGCTACTCATATTTTGGACGTCTATGGTCTATATCATGGGCGCTTAGATATGGTTTCCAGAAACCAACTAGTGATGTATGCATTTACTATTTATTACTATTTAAGCTAAGTATACACAACACTAGTATTTTAACGTTTATAGAATACATTATTCATTAAAGTAGCTTTTATTCAAAAACTCATGAATATTAGTTTATTAATTAAATAAAAATGACTATAAAATTGAGTAAACTTATATTATGATAAAATGCTTTGTCATTCAAGTACTGTTTCTGGTTAAACATTAAATACAAATCTATTTAAGTAATCAATTCAAAAAATACAATATTTTAAGTGAATTTATATTTTTATTAAACGAATAAATGCTAAACTGATTGTCATATTCAGTGTTATATCGGAAGTGATCTTAAGTCCAAAACAGTAACGAATCGATTAGTGAAACAAATTTTGTGCAAAAGATAGTGAAACCAATTGAGACACAAATTGCAAATATTTTGATGATTTGTGACCATATATTCACATATTTTTATTGGTATATAAATTATAATGAATGAATTTATATTAATAGTTTTTTAATTAATCAAGGTAGAATAAATCACAATATGGATAATGTTATTATACCTAAGAAATCCACTAAGAATTATCGATATTTTCAAAAGTGCTGGCAATTGGACTATTTTTTATTGAATTTAATGGATTACCACAATGTCTTAAATGTGATACAAAATTAAAAGATAATCATAAACACCGTGTTAAAAAACATTTTGAAAAAATGCACCCGGAATATATTGAACCGTATATCAATTTATCTCATAGTCTAATAATTGAATATAAATGTAATGAGTTTTTGCAATTAAAATCAGATTATGATAAAAGACATAATAATTATATAAGTCATGTACTAATTGTTTAAAAAATAATGTTTATGTAATATATTTTACAAATTACCGCTCTGGAGCATCTCAAAAATTGGATTTTACCATTGATTACTGCCATTGAAAAAGATTTTGAATTAATTATTTTTTGCAGTAATTGTCTATGGCAGTAATCAATGGTAAAATGCAGTCTTTGAGATGCTCCAGAACAGTCATTTGATGAGA